GGTTCTATTTTTATCCCCACCTTACCAACGAAGAAGTCGAGGCACCAAGAGGAGACATGACTAGCTTGGGTCACATGGGGAAGAAGTCGCCGTGCTGGGCTTTGGACCTGGGGAGGATTGATGAAGGCCTTGTGCTCCGAACCACAACGCTCACTGCCCCAGATTGGTAGGAGCATTGGCGCACATCCCACAGCCTCAAACCCCATTAATAAACTCCATCCCCACACAGAACTTCATCAACACTCATGCAACTTGGACCAAAGGTCTCCCTCCAGGCATCTGGGGAAGACATCTTAGCCCAGATAGAGAAATTGACATAGGTATTTTTTCACTTCCTTTGGACATGTTTGCTTTAAATATGAAAGGAAAAAAAAAGTCTGAGACTATGCCCCATCTTATGTGATGCTGATTCGAAGAAACAGCGATTACTTGCCTCTCTCCCCCTTAAAGAAGGCAACTCACAAGTAATTCTGATGTTTGGTCCTTCAAGAAACCACCTAAGGTGGGGGTGAGGGAGGGAAATGCATTCTTAATGCAGAACAAATCACTTAAAAAAAAAAAATCTCTTCTCTCTCATTGAAACGTTCTCAGTATTTCCCACATTACTGGTCTCAAGACCTGCTGCAGACCTCCAGCCTCCCCATTCTCGACTCTTCCACATACACCCCATTTAAAAGCTCCCTCCGTCCACCGTTTGTCTCCAAGCAACCCCTCTGCTTCATATCGTCACCCAAGTACATTGTGGTCTGACCAGAAACAGAAAGCCCATGACCTCCACTCCAGTTCTGCTTCTCTCTTTGCCTGTTCTGTCTACATTCTCTGTTACCGAAGAGCAGGGATAAGCCAGCAAAGACAGAAGTCTCTGGAAGGGAAGACAAAGCAGAAAGAATGCAAAAAACCCTACCTGGTGGAAATTTTGTCCTTGTGGACGATGCACGAATAAATAGCCCTGTAGGGACCCTTCACACTGTTTTGAAGGCTGGGCCCCCGCCTCCCGGGCTGGCCTGGTGGTTTCAGGATCCTGGGTCAGGACTGATCGGATGGGGACAGGACCATGTTCAGGGGAAATGGACACACGGCCAAGGCTATACTCTCTGCTCTCCGGAGACTGTGCTCTTCATCCTTTTCCCTGAGAAATTATGGTCTAAGTTTCTGTGCTACTCACCCAGCTGCGGGAGGAACCTGACTCCTTGGCTCTGGGGGCTTTATTCTTGTGCTTCCCCGAATCCTAACCCCTGATCCTGTCCACTCCTTGTACAACACCGCCATAATTCACCATCTTGGAAACGTTCCTCCTGTTTGGTGCGGCAATGACCTATAAGCTAGCCTGGAAAATCCTCACGGTTGCTTTGTCCTAACAATCACAGGACCATTTATTTCCACTTGCTTCATTTACTTTAAATCTCCCTCCTCCTCTACCCACTGGATTTCACCGAGCCACAGACTGGTTAATCTGCACGGAGTCTTCTTGTGGCTTATTTTGTTGAACACAAGATTGGATGCAAAAATTTCCACCCTTCGAAGGATCTGACATTCGAAGCAACCCAGCTGGGATTCCAGAATGGAAAAAAAAAAAAAAAAGAAAAAGAAGGAAAGAAAGAAATAGAACATAACAAAGTAGCCAAATGAGACAAAGAGGGTTGTCCAAAGGCTCCATAAATCTTTAGTTCCCTTCATTGTTCATTTCTAAGGACCGAAGTGTCCTGATTTATAGAATTTTTTCCCTCCAGGACTTTTCATCAGATAAACTGAATTCTTCCACCCAGAATTTGTGAATTGAGCCAGTTACCGGAAACCTCCAGCCCCACCCTAAAATCCTCTTCCTCTTCGCTGCGCTTCGGGCTGGTGCCAGCAGGTGGCGCCAGCCTGCCTGTTTTCTCTCTCGGCTCTTCTGGGCGCGGGAGTGGGGCGGGGT